CCAGTTTAACATGTATAAAAAAGAATTTTTTGAACATCTTTTTTTCTCTACCTAGTTTGAACGATGATTGTGGAGTGACCTTTGTTTTTTCAATTCTGCATTTCTCAGGTATCAAAGCCACACTATCCAACTATGTCATGTTGAATTTTCAAAAAAATTCAGCCATTATCTTACGAGATATAAGAAAAAAACCAAAAAGTCTCAAACTTTTTCCCCACAGGTTAATTTCATATAAGTCTAATGATATCGCCATTCAAACATCTCTAATTTGGCGTACAAGAATTGATACACTAGTAATCAGGGTTAAGTTGACAAAATCGGAGACGATCGATCGATCGAAATCGATTTAATAGTCACCGTCCAACAAGAAAAAAAAATTTTTAGTTTTCTATTGTTAAGTTTCTCTTAAAACTGGATATGCTCAAGATGGCGATACCTGGAAATTGACTTAACTGTGGCCCTTTTTTAACTAACCCTGAGTACTAGTGTAATTGGTAATTAATTTTAAGTAATGTTGCAACTTAAGTCCAGTGTTTGTCTGTTAACAGTCAGAATTTACCTCTCTTACGATTTTCAGACGTAATCTTGAAAGTCTTGTCAAATCTCGAGAGAATGCAAAATGACGCTGAACAAAAGTTCGTAGTTAGTGTAAAAATGCTGCAAAAGTTATTACCAACTTGCAAGCAAGCTTGAGCAATAGCAACATACATTCAGGCAAATATTTTCACCATTTCAGTTTTGTTTTTTATTCCTCTAATTTGCTGAACTTCTACTTTGTTCCCAGTAAGCCTTATTTTCCTTGATGATATTCTTGAGGTGATAAATTGACTATAGTCACAAGGTGAACAGGCAATATTTAATTAACCAAGCAAACTGAGGAAAGGTAGAGTTTGCTTTCTATCAATTTAGATTTTATCATGATAGACTTGATTGTATAAACAATGTAAACTTTCTTGCTTTCTTTCGCTTCGCTTCTCTTGTCTTCATTCATTCAGTTTCATATGCATTGAGAACAAAGAATCTTTTTGTTCTGCTGAATGTTTTCTTTGGACCAGAATCTTTTCTGTCTCCAACTAACAAAAATATCACTTCTTGTTCTGATTCAATCAATCTGACCCAAAACATTGTCAGAATCACATGCACCATCATCATCACTAATTTTTTATCCATTGCATTACATTCAATCTCAACATTGACTCAAGTTTATTTCATCACAAACGAATCCAGATCATGTAAAGTAGCTGAAGATAATAGCGAAAATCCTGTTCGTTAAGATTATGATTTAATCAGATGACAACGCACGTTTCACTCAATGCTGGGAAAATTGCGAATTGCATTTCCATACTAATTTCATTCTTATTCTCGAATCTCATCTCAATGCAAATTAATTTCTGAAAATTGTTGACACTTTTGTTCTATCAAAATGATTGCTATTCTATAAGGAATCTTTCCAAAGATAAATTCACTTGAAACTTGATACATGATAATCCATGATAATTTTGCAGATAATTAGCATCATCAAGTTGATATAATTTCACTTTTTTCCCTCTACTTTGACTTCTCATCTTCCAATATTACCAACTCTTAGTTTAATAAATGAACTTTCAACTCAACACTATTGATAAGAGTGTAAAATAATTTATGAGTTTTCCTTTCATCAGCCATCATGATGAAGAGAAGAGAAAAAAAAAGAAAAAGTGTTTTCTCATATCAAGAATACTGAATACCTTGAAGTAATCCACTTTTCAACTTTGTATTCATGTGCATTATATTCATAAAATCCCAGCACATTAGGCGTTCAAGTGATGGAATCTTAGAATGCAAATTAATGTTGAATAAAAAGAAAAGGTTGAAAATAGAATGAATTGCGAAACAGAAAAAGAATTGAAACATTCATGGAAAACTCAATGAGACCAGATATCAACCAACATTGAGTAATGTCAATGAACAAAATATGGTCACATTAAGTGTGCAAAAATGGTTAATTTGAAAAACTATTTCTTCTCATTTAGATTTTTCTTTAACGAAAAAATGAATTTTTCCATTTTGCAGGAAATCGATTCAATTGTGGACCAAATGATGACCGTTGCTGAATACCTCGGCTGGGATGTAACTGAATTGAAGCCTGTAAGTTTGCAATATAAACATTCTGAAAGAGTATTAATAACCTGTCAGGGAATCTCAAGTGAAATGTTTACTAAATGATGAATCAACTTTTATTGATAATTTTTTGTTTTCTCAATCAAAATGAGATTATTATTGTTGGTTTTACCAAGATTGACTTTTTGACCCTTTACTTTTATAATGTATTCACTGTTTTCATTGGCTGCTTTCACTGGCAACTTATTAATATCATCAGAAATGAAATGCAATAAACTCGAAAGGTACATTTACAGGGAAGAGAATAAAAATGGTCAGAAAAAGATTACAAATAATGTCTGGATAAGTATGAGAATAGTAAATAATAATAACGATGATGATGGTAATAATAACTAAATATCATTTCTCTCCATCAATAACACTGTTTCTTATTAAGTCTTTCATCATTACCAGCGTTACAACTGAATAGTTGCTTCGATAATTTGAGCCAATCCAAGAATCTACTTAATCTTGTTGGAGTTGAACTTTGATGGACTTTTTCATGAAAAGAGAGTGATAACTAATTCGATAGCCAAGTTTAATGTATACTTTTGATCAATGTTTGAAGCAATAAAAGCGATTCATGATAATTGTCGATAAACTTTCGAGGAAAAGTAATTGTAAAATTGACACGGAATAACACTTTTCACAACAAATGAGAAACAATTTTCATGATTGCTTCTGTTATCCATGACCTTAGTCCTGATCTTTTTTGAGCTTCATTGTTCAGCCGTAATGAGCTCATCGAGTGTTACTGAACATTTTTCGTTCATTCAAGGTTCATCGACGATTGCGGTTATTTATGTTTCTGTTGGAAGTCAATTTGTGTTTTGTAAAGAGTCTAAGGTTCATGAAGTTGTTTCAGATTTGACTTTGGTTTCAACTTTGAAATTTTCAATTGTAACTTTTATAATGATTATTTTTGTTTCTTTCAGATACTACAAGATATGATGATTGAAATTGATTATGATTCAGATGGAGCTGTATCACTGGAAGAATGGAAAAGAGGCGGATTAACAACGATCCCTTTATTAGTTCTTTTAGGCTTGGATTCTGTAAGTTTCATCCTCCATGTTTCAGAACAATTTTCAACCTTTGATTACATTCCAATGTTTTTACCGTTCAAAGGAAACTTTTCATTTCTTTTTTCTGATTACATTAGACGAGTTGATGAAAGCTAGCCTTGGCTTGAATCCAATTTTATCAATTCGCTGTTGCAAATGTTTCTCTTTTAGTGATCAATATTGTCAATAAATGCAATAATAGAGTTTATTTGGGTTTAATTGATTTCAAGGATCAAAAGCAGATGAAAAGTGATACTTTGAATGATCAATTAAAAGTTGAAAGTTGAATGGAAAAAATTTAAATTTAATTCAATTCCATAAAAAGGATTGTCAATATTTGTTGTTTAAAGTTTATTCATTGATAGTCCAAAGTTTATGCCTTTTCCAGTGGAATCCAATTTTTTAAGCTAAAAATAGAAGCAATCTTTTCTCACTTTGCTTAAACAAATTCAACAGTTCAATGTTTTATTGCGATATTTACTCGAAGTCAGTTTCATGATCCAAGTTCATGTTAGATAACGAAAAAGTATCTAGCCTTTTCAATTCAACCCAATGTTGGATCAACAAGGAGAATCATTTAGTCCTTCAATGGATTGAGCAGTAAACCGCTGACTTTGATTGGGAATTATATTCATCTTAATCAATGAAATAAAATAGTTTAAAATCAAGTTCCAACATTTGATGAAAGCAGGAAAGAAAAGTCGGACATTCTAGAGACTCAGCCAATAGTCCACAATCGAAGTCAAAGCGAATCTAAAATGAAGATAAAAAATGATGAATGGAATTTGTTTGACATGCATTTTCAATAAGAACGAAATCGTACAATAAACCTGGCAATTTCGTTCTTAACTCACTCATTTACATGCAAAAGGTTAAAGACTCACTTAGTTGCCCAATAGAACCTGAATAATGCAAAGATTTACCATTTGTGTTAAAGATTCAGATAATACTTTGATTTCGATTAAGCTTCTCTAAAAACTTTGTAACTCGAATTTCATTTTCATTTTTTAAGAAAAATGCAAATAAAAATAACCATAAAATGAAACATTGACTTTGAAATTTTCTTTTAAAAATCCAAATCGAAATTCAATGAATTTCATTGAGAGAGAATTTTTTCCAAAGTTCGTTGTCAGCTCCTAATCGAGAAACTTTCATCTCTGATTAGATCGTAATAAATGGAAGCAAAAAGTACTGACAATCTTTCCATCGACTTGAATGCCATTTGAAATAAGACAATTAATGATTCCTCCAACAGCACAATGTCAAAGATGACGGTCAGCATGTTTGGAGGTTGAAAAACTTCAAACGTCCAGCTTATTGCAATTTATGTTTAAACATGTTGGTTGGTTCGTTGGGAAGGAAAGGTCTTTGTTGTGTCTGTAAGTTAACACAAAATGGTCCATTAAGAGTAATAAACTTGAAAAAACTGGTTAAACAATAAATTAAAATGATGACAATTGCAATGAGTCTGCAGAGATGAAAAACAAAGCCAATATCAGCATGAAAAGTGAAATTACAAGCAGGGAATTCAACTTGGAATGGGAATGTTTGGAGGTGAAAAACTTGAGAAAAGCCATTAAAAAGTTAAACTGTTATTTTGTGAAATTAGTTTATCATCATTTTCACCTTTTTCACTGTCAATTTGATTCAATTAGTTAACTTTAATATGAAAAAAAAGATTCGACAATTATGTTGCCTGAAGAAGTAATTATTTATTTTAATTGTTCCCGGATGATTCTGTTAAATCAACTGAGAATTTTCTTTTCATCGTTAATGAATTGCATTTAAATTTAGTTTAACCATCAAATTTCTTGCAGTTAACATTTGTTATCCAGAAAAGCATTTCAAATTGGACAAATTAAAGGCTCGAACAAAGTCGATGAAAAAATGGATAAACTTGAAATCAAGGACAGAATCGGAATTAAAATTTTTTCTTTTCTTTTTTTTCGATAAAATATTTTCTCAAAATTTCAATTTAATTGATTTCACCTTCAAACTGAATTCATTTTTAAAGCAATTACAAATTAATTTGGAGAAATGAAAGTTTTTCGGAAAAGTTGATCAAAGCATTTCAACAATTCAATAACAATGAGAAGAAAAATTTCTAAGATTTTTAATCAAATTTCACTTTTCATGATCACCAGACGTCATTTTTTCCAATTGATGTTTCAAGTTTCAAGAGAATCGAGCAAAAAACTGACTCGAATCAAAGTCAAATTTCGATCTCTCAACTTCTGTTCTTCTTTCAGTCTGTAAATACACTGTCCATGAAAGGTGCGTCCAACGAGCTCCAGCTTCGTGCATCAGCACTTATGTAAAGTCCAAAAAAACTTCCCAGGTAATGTCTTTGATCGAATGACAGATTCTTTTACCTTTAATGTGAATCTCATGACTGCCCCAAGAACTCGATTCCAAGTTTAATCTTTTCTCTTTTGTTTCTTTTTCAAATCTCTGGATTATTCTGATTTACTTTGGTTAACCAGATAATGCTTCACCATTGGACTGAAGGAAATTGCATTGGAAAATGCAGCAAATGTAAAAAGCCGATAAAATCGTACAACGGAATCACAGGTCTTCACTGTAGATGGTGTCAAATGACGGTAAGAACTCGACCCTTTACGCTTCCTTCTTCTTCCTCTTCTTCCTCTTTTTCATCTTTTCTTTGTTTTTCTTTCATTGAAAGTTATCCTTTTCTCCATCAAGTGGTCTACTCTTTTCACTTGGTTAAATGTTGCTTTTCATTTTATTGTATCTTTTATTCATCCAATGATAATGAGATGATGTCAATGATGATGATGATGCTGATGATGATTATGTTGATAATGCTTTTGCAACTCTTCTCAGCAAAGGGTAAATGGTTATACTCTTTGTGCAGGGAGTTGTCATGGTGGATGGCTTAAGGTATAAAAAGTATAAAAACAATAGCAATCGAGATCAGATGAAAAACAGTGAGTGGGATGAATATAAACGATGGAAATTCCTTTTTTTCTCTTCACCAGAAATTCTCTGCTTGACTTTTTCGCTTCTACTTATTGTAGTTGATAAATTTTTACGTTTTTTTATTTCTTTTATTCTTATTACAATAGACTGTTCAACTGATGTAAAAACAATTGCATCAAGTGATGTTCAAGTCTTAAGATTCGAGATTTGATATCTTCTGATGTTACTCAAGATAATCTGTCTTGAATCTAGTTTCAACTCTAATGGTGAAAATTTAAAAAAGGTTTTAAAGTTTCACCGAGAAATCATGAAACATTTCAAGCTTAATTGTGACTGAAAATTGAATCTGAGAAAAACTCATTTCTAATGAAAAATTAAAACGGAGAAACAGATTTTACTGAAACCTGATTCTGGTTAAAATATGCTGCAAGTTGTGGTCAATAATGAAGTTGGTGAAGAACTTTGAAAATCGCAAAATGCCACAAACCACAGAAATAAATTTCGATTGCATCTCAAACAATGACTTAAGTTGACTGATGAGACTCGAGTAGAGTGCAATTCCTAAGTGAGCTTAGAAGGTTTTTTAGACTCGAATTTAAACAATTTTTCATAAAATGTTTACTCTCTCATGAAGCTCTGAGAATAATTCATCGATTCAATTTCTGAAATTCGAAAGCATAAAAATTTGGAGCACAATTTTTCCAATTATTTCAAGTTTTAGCCAAAGTTGCAAAGACTTTTTCCTTTTTGCAATTGTCAACAGGGAAACTCATTACCAAACTATAATGTCATCATGATAAAGTTGAGTTGACAAGAAAAGTGGAAAGAAAAATGAAAAAAAAGACTAAATTTAGATGACAAAATTATCGTCAAGATCACGTATTTTTGCCAAAATTGATCACGTAACGAAAAAAGTTGAAATGCTATTGAATTAATCTTGAAAACATTAAAATTTCTATTGTCCATTAACGCAATATGTTTGTTTGCTGTTCAAACAAATTGCTTCAAAACTTTAAATCGAAAGAAAACTGGAAAATTTTAGACAAGAAAACCTTATTCATCGACTTGAAGTGCAAACAATAATTCATTTTTTGCCAATTTTTGCATTTCTCCTTCAAATGGAGTAAACTTTAATAGTGTTTCTGTTTATGCAAAAAATTCATCTTTACCTTCATGTTTGCTCTTCCATCATTCCATGAGTTTCATTGATTCATTGATAGGTCAGGTTCACTTGAATTCGAGAATAAACTTCCTTTTCTCTTGCTCCTTCCTCAGGATTCACGGACATTCAATTCTTGAAGATTATTCTTGCTTCAAGTTATTGTGATGGAAAGTAATCCAAAGATTATTCTCTATATTATTGTTATCACTTGAATCGGGTCAATTAATGATTCCCAGAAAATGATTTCAGCTTTTAATCAAAAATCTCTTTGCTCTCTTTGCAGCTTGATGAGTTTGATATGAAAATAGTTTCCATTTCAAACTCTTGTGGTCAACAAAATGATAACGAAAATAGTGTTAGCCAAATGCTCATGTCAAGCAGATGCAGGATGAAAGTGAAGATGAAATGAATATCATGAAAGATTTATTACTAACATCATCAACTAATCTTCAGGTTTCATCTCTTTACCAATACTTCAATTGAAACTCATCATCTTTTGGTGTCACATTTAAACACAATGTTTTTACACAATATTATCAAGAATTGCACTCGAAATCTGATTGACTTATCAATTTTATTTCCTGTTAGTTTCATGATTCCACTTCAAGTATTGCAAATTATGGATTCAGTTTTCATTCGGTCATCATAACATCTCAAAATATCATCAAATTCAATACGCAGAACAATTCAATCCAATGATTCGAGTCTAAAATTAGCAAGAAAGCATTCAATTCTTCTATTCTTACTTGAAGTGTAAAGATACTGCAAAAAGAGCAAAGAAAGAACTAAATAGACAAGTTTTTTCGCAACTTTGCTTCCAACGTTCTAAGGACATTTAAAGACTATTTTGATCACTTGCAGAAACTCAACACACTTTAATTTCGATCTTACAATTTTCAGGTTTTCTCTGTTCAAATTGTTCTTTGATCGATCAAATTATCGCTAGCAATGTCTTATTGTTGTATTATTTGCTATTAAATGAATAAACATTTGCAGAGGTTACTCTTTTAAACATCTTTCAGTGTAATGTTATTCATTGTATAAGTTTAGCATTGAGGTAAAAGTGATCTTTATGAATGTAAACGCGAAATAGTTGTTTTTGTTAACTTTCTGGCTCTAAATATGAAGAGTTTTCTCGATTATTTGCTAATGTTTCATGGAAAGTTATTGACCATTATATATTAATAAAGACAATAATGAGCTTGTGAATGAATGAATGGATGAACCAGAAAAAGAAGAGTGCAAATAAACGAACCCAATTTAGTAAGATTTGCTGGTCAACGACAAAAGAAATTAGTTCTTCTTTTTACTCTCTTTTGCCAATAACGAGGTTAACTTTTAACCGATTCAATAGCTTTATTCAATGAAACAATTAACATTTTTCAAGTTAAATGCTTGTGATGAGAACGTAATTGTAACCTTTATCAATTTGTATTATTTATTGTTATGCATTTTTGGGTTCTTCATCTACTATTGAAAACACTCTTTGAGAAGTTATAATGTTAGTAAACTTTGATGCTAAACAATAAATACTAGACTAAAACCAATAAATAATCCAATAATGTTGCCATTGTAAATGATTATAAACACAAAATGCATCGAAGAAACAAATCAGACTTCAATTGCATGATTTGTGAAGCTTTAACTGGAAATTAAATAAGCTTAGAGGTGAGAAGAACGAACTAAAATTATTAAATCATTCTACAGACGTTCAATAGCGTTCTACAGACACATTTATTTCATCAATGTTCAATCTTGTTCAATGAAAACTTTGCAATAACGATTTGATAGTTTTAGCTCTAAACAATCACTTGTTTGATGTTAGAAGTGAAACCAGAAAACCAAATGAAGAATTGTCTATTAACGAAGCAACAAAACGCAAGTTAATTTGCGTTAAGACTTTTCTTGTTCCGTCTTTTTCCGCTTTTGCATAGACATTTAGATTCAGACTTGTGCATTCGGTAAAGAATACCAGTCACAGAATCGACTTGCTTAGGTATTAGTATGTTAGCTTAGTTTGTGTTAAGACCAATGCAATAGCTCGATACCTTTAATTCGAATTTCCAATCAATGTCGATGTCTTTTGGTTTCGTAACTTTAAATCTTTAATTAAAGTGTGATTGTCGACTGTGAAAAGAAAGTGAACTTGGTAGAAACGATTTGTAGTCATGGTTGTGGTAAAAGTATTCAAAACTGTTGACAAGTGAAGCTTGGGTAATTTACTTTGAATAACTTGGTAACTCGAAGAACAAGAAATGTTTCTTTTCGTCTATCGTTTAAATTATCTTCCAACAGAATACACTAATTGCAATCATTGATAATCTGTTTCCCAGGGAATGAATTTTTCACAAATAATCTTTAAAATTATATCCTCATGAAATTGCAAATCTTTTAACGCTTAAACTAACTTGTTATTATAATTTGATGTAAAAATAACTACAAATTTTCAATCGGCTTAACATTCACAATGAATCTGTGTTAATTTCATCCTTCGAAAGGTATATCAACTTTGCTCTCAAAATAAATCTAATTTCCTAAACCTTCTCTTTGCCTCACAGATTGAACATTTCAATCGTAAATTGAGATAAATGTTGCTAAATAGTTGCTAAATTGTAGTTAATTACACACTTTTTAAGCTTTTAAGCAACTCTTCTTGATTGCCGATTGATTTTGGCAACTATTTAATTGACTTTTAATTGATTTTAACATCACTTTGTTTGCGCTTTTTAAAAGCAAAGTTAACATAAACAGATGAATATTTGCACCAGAATAGCAAACTTGCTCAAGTAAATCAACAAGCATTGAACTTATTCCTGAAATCTCAATCTATTGGATTAAACGAGCAAATGTTATTTAACTTTTCTGTTTTATTGGTTTCAACAGTCGAGTTATTATGAAGGGAATCAAAGCCAAATAATAACGATAATGGGTGCAAAGTTAGACAACAAAAGCAATAAGAAGAAAAGGATAAAGAAGATGAAGAAGATGAACGAATTGTTTGTTTGAAATTTACTCTATTAACTGTCTTAACTTGAATTACTTTTCATTGCTTCTCATTTCATTATAGCTGCACAGCCATTGTGCATCCCAAGTTAAACCAGAGTGTAATCTGGGTGAACACAGGGATCACTTGTTGCCACCAACAAGTATCTGTCCAATTGTTTTGGTAAGTGAAAAACTAATTTCCCTCATTTTGTGTGTTTCCTGTTAATTAACTTTCAACGATAATCATCACAATCGCCATTAAATAAAGCCAAATCAATTCACAAGTCTATTAATAGATGAAAGTTTTCATTAAATGCTAGTTTATCGTTTCAATTTCAACTAGCAGTTTCCCTTTCTCATCCATTAATGAACAACTCATTGATTTATGTTAACCAGTGAATCAATTTAAAACCAATCTAATTTCAATCAAGTTTACACTGAAAAATTTTCGTCACTAATTGCACAAATAATGACTTGGAATGATCAAATCAAAGAAAAGCTTCTCACATTTCTCTCAACTTTTACGTCGAAATTTCGTTTAAAAAATGAGTCTTTTAGCTTTAATTTCGCTGGCAACTTATTAACGAAATGGCATTGAATAAACTGTTGCTTTAACCCAATATTTTGCAACATTCAGCCATCTAAATTCGCCAAATTTGGCAAAAAGAGTAGTTTAGACTTTGCTTTTCTTTTTGAGACGCTTCTGATTTGCGTTATTGCTCATCGACTAGATTTAAATAGAAACATAATATTCTTGCAATTTTTGAAAACTCTAATGCAAAATTTCATCATTATTGCTGAGCTTCTAAGAGAAAAGACCAGAATGTCTAGAACTTCTTTCTGGCGAATCTGATTGTATATTTTTCTTCATTAAAAAGTCCGTAATTTTCGGCATAAGCTTGCGAATAATAAGTTATATTGATGATTCGATTATCCATTAGAAGCCTTTATTCAATTAGCTAATCACATAAACAAAAGAAAGCCAATTGCATGGAATAAGGTTCACGTAAAGCCAATGAAATAAACTATTGAACCATGTAAGCTTTATTTTAGTGCATAAAATTTCCTCTTTTGCCAGCCAATGTTCCATTCTTACTGTCTGGTATAACATGAAAGTTGACCAACAATCTATTAAAAGAGTGAATCTTGATTTGAGTTGAACCAGAAAAGCTTTATTAGACAACAAAATACCTAAAATGACCAAATTGACCAAATTTGAGTTTATTGAAGGCATCGAGTTTCTCCTTTGCCATTACAAGAATGCAAAAACTTTTTTTTTAATTTGCTCACTGTTAACCCTTGATATTGCTTTTCATCACTTGATATGTTGACCAGTTAACTGATTGACTGTAAACAACTCGACAGAATATTCATTGAAATGTTGCCAATATTACTTCATTTGTATGTTGACTGAATCACAACAATAAACCGACTGACCTGATAACTTTCATTTGCTATTCAAATGTCAAACGATTGTAAAATTATCTGGTTAAATGACATAAAATGAAACATTTAATTTCATTGCAAACCCGATTCCACTCAGTTATGATTAAACTTTGGCAGAACAATTTATTTCAATTAAATGGCTGTCAATTGAAATAAAATTTAATTCCAAAGTTGATCATCAAATTACCATTTGATGTACCTTAACATTCAAAAATGTTTCATTTTCTTCCTTTTCTTAATTTACTTTCAATTCTCACAGCAAAGGTTCATTCGAATAAAAGCGAACAATTGACTTATTCATTTCTAAATTGAACTTTTAATTTTCATTGCAATTTACATTAAAGATATTTAATGAAGATAAAGAAATGTCAAAAGTTTCATTTAAATGTTTCACTATTGATTGAACATTAAATGATAGAGCAAATAATAGCAGTTAAAAATAGCTTTAAACAAATATTAACCAAATTCAACTTCCGATTATCATTTTTTCGCCTCAATTGTATTCATTTTAATCACAATTTTCATTAAATTCAACTTTGTTTAGAATCTTTTTCTTTCAAAAGGTTCGACACTTACTCCACACTGGGAGTGAACATTCCCTGTTAATGTGATAACTTATTCATTTTCAATGTAAGTCTGAATGTGAATAGAAACATACGCTTCTGGCTCAGAAACCGGAAACGGAAATAGGGGAAAAACTCGTGCGCCCCCTCAGTCACTGACCCCTAAAGAATAACATTTTTCCTTTTCTGAATGTTCATGAGCATTATCATGACATGGTTCAATTTTTCCATCTAATGAGGCACAGGGATTGTGCTCATTACAATGAGATTAATTATGATGGAAATTTGACTCTGTTTCAGCATTTAGAACATTATCTTTTCTTTATTATTTTCATCAATTTCATGATAGTTTTCAGCTTCTCTTGACAATTTAGTGGAAAGGGTTTGGATGTAATCATCAAGAAATGAATGTCCAATGAAAACTCAAACTCTCATGGGTAAACTTTTAGTGTTTTCCAGCTTTATTGATTCGTCCTGAAACTTGAATAATTAGGCCTGCAAAATTGTCTTTTCAATTTTTCCATGAAACAGTGGATAATCATGGATCTTTTTTTCTGTATCTGGATTTTCTTTTGCTGGTTACTCGTTGGTTTATTGCCATCAGTAAATGCTTTTTTCTCTTTCATGGTGGGCAAGAGAGAAAAGGGAAAATGCTTCAGATCTTAATGATGATAATGATGAAGATTAAGAGAGGAAGAGAGTTGATAAATGGGAAAGCAAGAGGAAAATGGGAGCAAAATGTCAAAATGTTGTATTGTTTTCAGTGTAAAAGATCAGTTGATCAATTAAATGATTATGAACGGAAAAGGGTAAAAAACGGGAGAAAATAATTTATAATATAATTAATGAGTGACCATCAATTCTGGTTTCGAAATTTTCCAAACTAAAAGAAACTTTTCTCATGGAATAATGCATTTCCATTAATTCATCATCTTTTAACAACTTATCCAAAAAATCAAGAATAGACTTGAATATGCAAGATGTTGACCCGAATAATTGATTGATCAAGACTTTTTTAGATCATCTGGTTGTGAGATAAGAAACTTCAGTTTTAACCTAAAATTTTCAAAATCATTGATTATATGAAGAAGAATTTCCAATCCAGAACAAGTCAAATCTTGGAAGGATTCTTCGAAAATCGACCAGCCAAGTGTTCCAATCTTGGACGGTTCATCTCGTGGGTTAAATATCAGCATTCATTGCTTTCACTTTATGCTAATATTTGAGGATAAAACTGACATCAATAAGTGTTCATAATTTTGCAAAAGTGGCTTTTAAATGGTTTGAAATGTAGTCTTAAATTGATGATAATTTGATGAACATTTTTTATTCTAATGCATTCATTAATCTTTTTTTTCGTTTTTCCTCATGAAATTGGTTTAGGAGCGACAGAAGAGTTTAAATAGTGAGAGAAATCAAAAGAAATCATTGTCCCGAAATGATTCAGATTCCAAATCATCTTCTGTAAGTATCTGCCTTTCATCTACTATTTCAATCTGCTTTATCAATTTATTGCCCTGTAAAGTTATCATCATTATCATTTGCAGAGTTTCTTTTCCTTTGCCTCCTTTCATGTTGTCTTTTACATACTCATAAACGCAAGCTGAATTTGAAGTGCACCATTCATCATGCCAATGGTAATACATAAATGTATTTCAAATGCATGTTGACTTGAAGCTAAGCAAAAAAGGGAAGGTGAAGAAGAAGAAGAAGAAGAAGAAAACAAAGGAAATAGTTGAAAGGAGAAAATGAAATTAAATGATAAAATGTGTTGCATTGGTAAAGATGAATAACTCAAAGTAGGTTAACCTTTGGTTCAGTGAATAACAAGAATGAGACAGAGATTTACAAAGAAGAAGAAAAGAGTCAAAAAATGGAAACGAAAAACGAAAAATCAGGAAAATTGAACAACTTTCGAAATCAAAGAACAGCGAAAAAAAGAATCAGTAAAATCGTTATCAATGGGTTATCCATTGCATCTCTTAATTCCCTTCTCGAGTAACATTTTCCGTTTCAAAGTTAACCAAGAATCAAATGATGGCAAGAAAAAAATTGTTCAACTTATTCACTTGACAACTTGCGCTTATTGTCAACCCTTTGTAACTCTTATTCATTTCAGGCGAAGTTCAGAAAAAAAAACTCAGATAAACAGTGAGAATGAATGCATTTTTAGGAAAAGATTTTGAAAGGAGATCAAATTTTCAGGTCAAGTAAACTGATTGAATCTCGGCTGAACTTTTGCCTTCTTTTTTAGCTTCTGCTTCTTGTTCCCTGAGATTGACTCTGCACAACAAATGGTTCAACCACATTCACATGAATGATATCATAAAGTCTAGATTACCTTTTCCTTTTCATCAACTTTCCAAGATTAGACAATTTTATTAGTTATCAATGTTGACGAAACTAATGGTTGGCCTTTCGTCAATCATCTAATGGTAATGATGATCAACATGGCAAATCAATTAATTATTTAATCAACTAGAGTATCTTTGCATGTTAATGGTAACTTAATCAAATAATTAATCTCTTTTTCAATTCATTCTCAATTGGCTTCATTTTCAATCAATCAATTATTAATATTGCAGTAAATTGCTTTACATTTTTATATAATATCATTTCAAATGTATTGAATAAGTAAAAGGCTTTTTTTCTGATGCAAAAGTTGATCATTTTATTTTGAAGTGAAATTATTTGAAATGGCAAAAATAGCAACAACTGAAGTGTTAAATAATTTTCAAAACTCTTTTCAATTCATTTTCTTGTCTACTTTTTCATCGTTGAATTTCATTATTTAATGTTTTTTCATTTTCTTTCAGATCAGTCCAATTTCATTTCAAATAACTCCTTTATCTGGAACTCATCCACTTCTTATTCTGGTTAATCCCAAAAGTGGTGGAAGACAGGGAATGAGGTAAATTGTAAACTCAATGAGGTCAAAAAGTTTTAATAACTTCATTAATTGCATTTCTCAAGTTTCAAGAAGCAATTTTAGAAGTTTTTTAAAAAATTTGAATGATCGCAACAAATGAAGGGAAATTTTCGAGTTTCAACAATTAATATTTTATCGGCCAGGGTTAAATCGGAAACGAAGCTCAAGCAATCTATTTTTGTATCGAATTCTGGTATTTCTTTGAAGTTAAACAGATTAAAGTGCTTTTCCCAGATCCTCGCGTTCTTTCAACATACTTGACTTGCATTAAATAGACAGCGTCAATGAACGATGAAATCAGTGCTCATTGAGATATGATGAGCGAATATAAGGAATCAGAAATTTTTCTCGGTGAATTCGTTCTACTCTCAATATCATAAAACAATATTGTGCAGCTCACTCTCGAGATTCAATTTGACTAAAACTTCATCAATGCATTTCAAACAAATTTAATCAAAACTCGACTTTTAATTGCAAACAAATCTAATTCATCTTAAAAGTCTTTTGGAGTTAATATTGAAAAATGCCTGAAAGTGATTGTGACTCAAACTGATTTCACTAATAATGAAGTGAAGATAATAACGATTCCTAGAAATGACTTTCAAAATTCTTGGAAACAATTCTTTCTTTCAATTGTGTTGGAATTGATCATTAAAATGCGAAATTTGTATCTATTTGAGAAAATGTTTCAGTTTCATTGCTTCTTGATTCTTTGTAAAGCAACAAAAAATGAAAATAATGATTGGATGTTCACTAATGTTCATTAAATTGTCTCTTTTTCGCCAGAATTTTTCGTAAATTTCAGTATCTTTTAAACCCAAGACAAGTTTGTAACATTGCCAAAGGTGGTCCTGCCCAAGCTCTACAATTTTATAAAGATATTCCAAACTTCAGAGTTCTGTGTTGTGGCGGTGATGGCACAGTTGGCTGGATCCTTGATTCCATAGGTATTATCATGATCCTTGATAACAGGCAAAGAGAAACGCCTTGCCATTCATTTATCATTATGTTGAGAACAATTTTTATTTATCATTCCATTGATATCAGGGAGTGTAGATTATCTTTATGTTTGTGTCTTGTGAAAATTGATTGTTTTCTCATGCTCCATCCAAGTATTAATTTTTCATTCCTTCAATTATTTATCATCAGATAAAATGAGCTTGAACTCTAATCCACCAATGGCAATACTTCCCTTGGGAACTGGGAATGATCTTGCACGCTGCCTTCGTTGGGGTCCAGGTTATGATAATGAAAGTCTCAACAAGATACTCAAAAGGGTTGAACACTCGTCGACTGTAATGCTCGATCGTTGGAAGATTGACATTTCAACTTGTGGAACAGAAACGGAAAAAGGTGATCCCATTCCATGTAACATATTCAACAATTATTTTTCCATTGGAGTGGTGAGTAGCCATCATTAACTATTAGCAAAAAGATAACCCCAATCCAGGATAATTGACAATATCTTTAACAAATTCCTTCTGTTGCAAGTTCAATTCAATTTCGTCTCGACTTTTCTTCCAACTTGCAACTTGTTTCAAGTTTTGTATTCAAAACCAGTCGAACGGATTTAAGAGACTTTTTCATTGAAACTTGCAACAGATTTTCAAATCAAAGATTTTTCGCTCGCAGTTTCAGGAATTAAGTAAAAGTAAATCAATAATCAGATTATCGTAGAAGTTCCGAAATGAACTTTGCACTGCTTCGAGCTCAATCATTTCATGTTCAACTTTTTTCAAATCTTTTTTCAATGTTTGAGTATTTCATTGAAATCAAAGATCGAATGAATAATTTTTTTGCTAAAAAATGTTCAAGTTTTCGCTAAGAATTAATTTCTAATTCAATAGTTTTAACAAGATTACAATGAATGATCGTAAGAGTGAAGTTTGTCAGAATTTGTTTGAAACTCGAATGAATTGATATTTTTCTTGCGAACATACAAATTTTTATTGATTAATTTGAAATACATTTCAACTGTTACTCAGTTTGTGTTTTTATAAGAAAAATGTACTTTTTTCTGTTTCCATTTTTCATGTATTTTAATACTTGGAGTTGGGGAAACAATAAAATTTTGATTTATTGTTTGTTTTTTTGTGATTTCATTTTTCTTTATTTTATAATCCTACATCAAGTGTCAATAATTGTATTGATATGAGTTATATTTTAATGTTTTTTATATTTCATTGGATAAGTTTTCACATTTGCTGGACAAAAATGTTTCTTTTGCTTTTCACTGATTAATGGTCAAATAGTCTGATTACATTTGATAGGCCAAAGTTGAATAACTCCAACGATGAAAAGTATAATATTTTGTGACACTAAATTTTGGTAACACAAAAAGAATCAACTTGAATAAATTATTTGTTCTTGTAAAGAATCAAATATAAATAGTTTCATTCTGCGGATAAAACCATCAATTATGGCCCTTTTGACAAGTTGAATGATCAACGTTTAACTTGAAAAGCAATTATAATTGATGACTCTTCAGGGTAAACAATATAATAATACTGATACATTTCATAACAAATCTATCAAGTTTGTAAATAAAGGCAACATATGAGATGTAAATTATCACCATCTCAATCAAAATCTTGTTTTATCATTCAACTGTCAACAGTTTTATTAAAATTAGGAAAAAATAGGTTTCAAAATTTTGTTGACTTTATCCAACTTAATAACTCTAGTCAAACAAATATCGTGATTTTCCCAACAATTTTTAAACCTTGGGTTTGGTTTCCACTTAACTTTAGTTCATATTGACGCCTTAACTCATGAAAAGGCTGAATAAAGCCAAAACATTGTGTAAAAGCAATAGCAGTTACTTTGAAAGATAGTCTCTTCGCTTCCAATATTAAGGACAAATAGTCGAAATTGCACGTTTCATTGTTCATTTCGTAAGCATTTATATGGAATACTTGCAGCACACGAGATTAAATTTTATACTGTGGTGGGTTATCGAAGAGCTTCCTGTGTGAAAAGGCTAGGAAAAATGTTAGACCATCAACCCTTTTCTTCGAAAGGCAGATGGAATATGGAAGAAATGAAATGAACTTCATTGGAATATTACGCATTTCGATTTGGTTATCTTTGAACAAAGTTGACAGTACGCCATCACATTAGTTATTATTTTTTGTCACCCCATCCGAAACTTACCAATGTTAACCCTTTGTTTCGATTCTTGATTGCGTCCTTACTAATCTCCCTGATTTAATGTATTTTTAACAACTTTAGATGATATTTTGACCGATTATTCACTCATTATTAGGCGAATATATTCAATTAAAGCTTTTGCTTCATCACCAGTTGATGACATAAGAAAGGCAAATCTAGATTTTGAAGAAATTCTAACAATATGCTCAAGTCAATAGGAATAATGATAAAGTGCTATGATGATAGACTGATATGATAGAGATATGTTGAACATGTATGTAACATTTACATGTTACATATCGCTGTAGTCGCACTTTCACCCTGTTGTGTATTGTTTTTCTTGGGGAAGTTCCAGACCAACAGTAGCTCAAGCGCTATGCATCTACTACTTCGACAAGAACATGTCTATCATTTCGATCACAAACGCACACTTAGCAGAGTTATGAAAATGCATGTTGCAAGTTTTTCTAGCTTTCGATCATCTCCATTATATCACAATGCAAACTTTCTGAAACTCAACGAAATATTGCAGTTTCTATACTTTCAATGATTTCAGCTCATGTGATCTTTGAATATTCAAATTTCTTTGTGAATAATTTTCAATAACATGAACTGCGCCCAACATCAATCACCATGAAATCTTTATGCCTTTCTAGGTATTGATCTGAAATTGCAAATGATTCGAACTTTCAGCTTCTCTCTCTCTCTCCCTATTCAGCATTCATAATGATCATGGAAAGTCAGCAATTTGTTCTAGTCACGAACTATTTACGTGTCTTGGAAGCTTTCTTTTCTTTTCACTTCTCTCTTCAAATTTCAGGTCAACACTGACCAACTCTATTTTTTCTGCATTTTGTCTCTTCTATTTTTGTTATTGCAATTTCCTATCCAATCTTATCGGTGTTTCATTGCTCTTTATCTTTCCATCATCATGATTCAATTTCTCATTCCACTTTCTCTCTTCTCTTTCCCTCTAATGTTATCATTGTCTCATCATCTGGTTCATCATCTGAATCTCGGTGAAAGTTGGTCAATTCAATTTACACTTTGCCAGTTTAACTTGATTAAATGCAATTCATTAATTATTCAATATTTTGTTTTCTTTTCCAATTTGCATCTAATCAGCTGAATCATCAATCATTTCAACTTGAAAACCGATATTGTCCAATGTAAAATGAATACAATGAAAATGTTCATCAATTTTCATTTCACAACTCATTGAGATTTTCATGAATAGATGAAAACCAATTGATAAACTTAATCCAATCATGATGAAGATATTGCATGTGAATAACTTGAATTGAAGCAAAAGCAAAAGTTTACTTTCAATCCAATAATTTGATCTTTAATCATTATGTTCAAAAGAAGAGTGAAAAAAACAAAATTGATCATCTTTCAAACTGCATGATAAATGCATTTCAAAGCAACACACATCAATTGTTAAATGATGAATAATGAAATTGTCAATTATCTTTACATTTTTACGAAAATTTTTTATTCACTTTCAATCATTTTGCCGTTCTTTTCCCATCTCTAGGATGCTTCAATTGCAATTAAATTTCATTTAGAGCGTGAAAAACATCCTGAAAAGTTCAACAGTCGCATGAAGAACAAAATGTGGTACATTCTGTGCAACCTGTAAAAATCTCCATGAAGATGTCGACGTTATGGTGAGTGTGAAATTCATTGCATCCAAAGAGTTTATCATTGCATCCAAAGAGTTTATCGGTAAAAACGAAAAACTCAAAACTGATAGAAACTCCGAACTTCGAAATTTTAGTTGAAAAATCAAGTCTTGTTTCATTTCCAAATCAAAACAACGAAAATCGAAATTTCAGGAAACTTCTTTCATTGGAAAAAAATATTGAGCAAATGTTTTCGAACAGAACATTTAATGGACAAATTGATTCCAGACTTTCGAATTTTTTTGTCTGAATTTTTTTCCAGAAATTCGTTAGATAATTTTCTAGCTACAAATAAAGAAATTTTTGATCGAAATTCGATTTTTTTGAAACTTTCCAAATTATTGTTTAATCGTATTTTCGTTGGTTCTTGTTGTGACTCTAGTGTGATGGTGTTTCCCTCGACCTTCGCAATGGACCTTCACTTCAAGGTATTGCCGTCCTTAACATTCCAAGTATCTATGGAGGGTCCAACCTTTGGGGTGACAATTTGTCTCAACGAAATCGAAGTAAAATTCGTAAAAAGGCAAAGAAAAAGCGTCGAAAGGAACGTGAAAATTCGAGCAACTCTTTTTCAACGACTGACTTGTCCACTGCAATACAAGATATTGGTGATAAAATGATTGAAGTAATTGGCCTTGAAAATTGTATGCATGTTGGTCAAGTAAAGGCTGGATTAAGAGCTTCTGGTCGAAGATTGGCTCAATGTTCATCTGTAGTAATAAGGTAAGCAATTTAATCTCTTCATTCAACTTGCATTCAATCTTCATCTTAATCAAAGTTGGTCTCTATTCAAGCAATCAAACTCGCCTAATTGCAACATTGACATTTGATATTCAATTGATTGTCAACCCAATCCAATGGTCATCATCATTACCAAACTGAATCATTTGACCAAAAAAGAAAAAAAACTTTTTCTTCCTTTTTCGCAACTCTTCGTTTCTCCTTTCATTAATCAATTTTCAATCGATAACATTTTGCAATTTAAATTCAACTTTTCGAAGTGAACATTTCTAATGAGCAACTTCGATCAGCACTTTCAGTCGACCTTCCACTTGTGATTAATAGCCATTAGCATTAAGGATAATATTGAAAAGAGGATTATCGTGATTTTTCATCGGAAAAATATTCCAAAGAATAACTTTAATCGCAACTTTTCTGCAACCTAAGCATGATGGACACATGGAGACACAATTTTGATTGAGAATCAGTTGAACCATTAATCGGATAAAAACATCAATTGAATGTAATTTCATCATTCTTTCACTCTTCATGCTCAATCTGTGTTTGACAGTGTCTTTCAATTCACGAATCATGAATCAACTTTTCTCCTTTTCCGACTTTCTTCTGTTCCCTTTCAAAGTTGACAGCAACAACTTTTAATTACCCTTTTATCACTGAATCAAGTTGAAGCAAAGGTTAATGTCAATGAGTGATTCAGTGATTCGATGATTTGGAATGGAAGAAAAATCTTTTCAAAATTGAATGTTAATAGAAAATTTTGTCAAATTTGCTTTTCTTTTAATAATCCAATGAAACAGTCAATGTATACATTAACAGCATCAATTGGATCCTTCAAACCCTTTGAGTGAAAATTTAATACCAAAAGTGGAAAGCTTTTCAAGGGTTCAGTTAATGTTAATGGACACGTTTTCAGGTTCATAGGTTTTACTCAATATCATGTGTCAGAAGCTGATAATTATTTCAATAATTACTTCAAGTTCAACTTTATTTCAATTACATTTTGTTGGATGCTTTCAAGATGATTGATGATTAAACATTGAGAATGTCTTTTCAATCAAATGTTTTCGAGTTGTTGAAACAACCATTGAAATGAAGGTGAAAGTTGATTAAAATTTCGTCGTGAAAATTGTCCGATTCAAGTGAAAATGAAAATGTTGAGCAAATTGCAAAAGACTTGCATCATTGTTCAGTTGAAATTATCTAAAAATAGATAAACTAAGTACATGTTGCACCCAATTAACCAGAACTTCTTACCTTATAATTTCATTTCTTGTTCCCTATCCTTTTCACAAATTACAGGTTATTCTGTAGTTATCTGTTCATGATTAAAGGAGCATTAAAAAGTGATTCTTCATGGCGTTTTGCATCCTGGAAACTCATTTTTATAATTCAACAAAAAATGCTCAACATCAAGAGTAATCCTGTTCTAGGGAATAAAAAAAGTTAGAAAATGAAAGAAGAAACATTTTTCATTCTCAATGAAAGGTGAAATCGTAAAAGTGGTCTGCTTCGATCTGTCAATCTTTCATGATTGAGATCAACTTTGAAAACTTTCTTTAAAAGATTTGCTAGAACAAAAAATTCATCGAATAATTGATTAGAATAAATGCTTTGTTACAATTAAGGTCGATTTTAATACCAATCGCATTCAAAATAAACGAAGATAAAAATTACTCCTTCTCTGCCTTTTATCTCAGATAGCTTATTATCAAGCGAAACATTTCTCGACTTCTTATTTTGTTGTTTTCCAACGAATTTTTTTCTCGTGAAAGTTTTTTCTAACACGGACAATTTTTCTAATCGGAAAGGTGCGATATGAAGGTGTAACTTGTCGATTGATTTACCTTCACGATTTATCTGAATCTTAAATTCTTCATTACTATTGCAATCTCAACCATTTTGAATTCACTGAACACAAGTTGACTTGAAGACTGAGCAAGTAAACTTTAAAAGTTATCCCATCTTGAAGGACCTCTGTTACACTTTACATGAAAATTTTACTGATTTTTAGGTTCAAATGAAGATTTGAGGGTTTCATCTTGTTATTAGGAAATGTTATTGAGAAAGGTTTACTCTTCAATATAACAGTTTTTGACTTTACTGACCTGAAATTTTGAAGTCAACCAAAAAATGATCGACAAATTTAATTCAATTTTTGCCTTGTTGATCTGAAGCACATCTATGTTCAATGATGGTTGTAAAGTAAGGATAGTTCACGGGAACGTCTAATCTCTTGATTAATCATTGAAGATCAAATCTTGACCTCAGCCTGAGATTATTATTCAATCAATTAACTTTGAAATCCAATTAAGAATCGATAGTGAATCAAAAAGCTAACAAACATTGACCTTTCCTTGTAACCCTTTAAACATGAGGTGAACATTGAATTTTGTAAAAAAATTACTTACAATTAACTTCTCACTTTCCCATTTCAATAGATGAACTTGATAAACTTGTTATACTTGCAATGAACACAAACTGGCTTTATCCAGCTTTTTGTATCAATTTACTTCTCCATTGTTCACTCTTTAATCACGTACTTACCATGGAAAAATCATTTTAAATTGAAACACAAAATTCATTGAGTTTAATACAGATTGATACAAAATTGCAAATTTTCCCATCAATTATGCAGAGTCGACTTTCGCATCACAAGTTCAAGTTGAACAAAACCTTAACATTTACCTTTAAACACTTTAATGTTGAGGGAACCAAATGAAAAGGTTAAGAGATAATTCAACATAATTAGAATCAATTAGTCAATCATTTTTTACCCAAAAATTAGCTGCCAATTTTAGGGTTGATTGGATAGTTTATGCACCACAAAAGTATCATGTAATTATGTGTGTTGAGGCCAAAATTATGAGCAAGTGGCTCATCAGTATTCAAGAGTCACAATCTGTTATTAAGATAATTTTGTAAACTCTTCTGCACTCGCCTTTGCTTTCCAAATCAACAATTGAGGAAATTTGAAGCGAATCTAACGGACTTTAATTGCTCTTGCACACAATTATACGTTCATTTAACTTCAATGGCAATAACCCTTTGAACCTTCATTTATTTGCATTGTAATCAAGTAATTATCTTTATTGAATCATTGATAAAACAGAAAAGTTGAATTGTAAATAAAATCATTAAACTTGCCAAATAATGAAAAAACTTGAGATTGACATTAAAATTTCCAAATGTTAACATTTCCTGAGAAACTCACAATTAAAGGTAAATTTCAATATTGAGAAAAGTTTATTTTTCCGATTAAATTGATGATTTGCTTGAGTTTACAATTTGCTCTCTTAGAGTTAAATCAATACTTTTCAATATCAGTTAATTAACAGTCAATTAGATTATTGCGTGTCCAGGATAAAGTTAACGATAAAAATAGCGATGAAATTGACTCGGTTTTTCATTGAATCATCAACTGTGTCAAAATAAGGGAAAAACAAGCAAACAAAAGCAGTTTGGATTTACCATTGTTTCCATTGAAAGTTAACAATCAATTTTGAAACATTTCAATTTAACGCCAATTATTGTTCAATATTGACTCAAGAGGAAAATGAGACGAAAATAGAAAGGTCAAGACTGGTCAAGTTTGCTCAATGTTAATCTAAATAGATTGCTTTAGATTTTAATTGATCTTTCAAATTATTTCGAGTTTCAAGAGTCGCACTTTTCCGAGATGAAATTTGGTTAATCGGTGTTATTTCAAAGATTTACCTTTTCAAGTTGAATGAGAAAATTTTTTGAAATAATTTCTTTACTGCCTTTTGATTAACATTTTGATTTTCAATTTTGATTCCTATTTTGACTGAATTGATTGAAAATTGTGTTTACTTTTGGATAGCAAATTGAAGTTTAAAGGTTGATTGAGAAGACAAAAAATCAAATTACAGTCGTAATCAAAGAGTATTACTCTTTGGTCGTAATTGTCTTGAAGCCATTTGGTTTGATATGAAAATTATCATCTTAATAATAGCAATTATGTATAAGTTAGATCACTGCAACAAGGGTATTCATTGTTAAGACTCGAGGCGGAGCCGAGAGTCTTATCAATGAATACCCGAGATAATGCAGTGATCTAACAAACTTATACCAGTTTTAAACTGTATTAATGCAGTAACTGGTATTCGTGCAATACACTTTTCAAAAAACAATGGCTCTCCTATAAAAAAGTGGTATAACTTTAGTTTGACCATTCAAGAGTAACTTGTTTAACCATGCAATTATCATCATCACCATCAACACTTTGAGAAGATTGAAGCATCTTAAAGGCAATAACTTTGATCATTTATTTCCAGCTTGTTAACTGAATCTTTTTTTTCTTCACATTAGAACTCGAAAAAGGTTTCCAATGCAAATTGATGGTGAACCATGGATTCAACCTCCATGTACAGTGAGTATTTAAACTAGAATTTTGAAGACCGAATTTCTCAATCTTTTTCTTCTTCCCTAATAGATTCATATCACACATAAAAATCAAATGCCTATGCTAATGGCTCCAGCACCTGAAAAAAAGTCTCATTTCTCATTTTCATGGTTCCAAAAGTGTGTAGACAAATGAAGAGCAAAAGAGACGAACTTTTTCCATGGAAATCTTTCAATTTCAAATTCTCACTTTAACCTTATTAAAAGCCTAATCATCATTCATTTTTCATCCAAGTTCCAAAAGTTGATCGCAACTCTTTCCAAATGGAAACTGAATTTCCATTGAAACAAAAGTCATGAAAAATCAACTTTAATGCCATTATCAAGCCTAATCGCCATAATCGTCAAACTAAAGAAAAAGACATTTCCAATTGTGATTCAAGTTTAGATATCATTAACTTAATTGTCTTCTTCCTTGTCAGTCACCTTTTTTTACTCCGTTTGTCCATTCCAATAGACTTGGACAAATGTTTTACTGTTGAAACCTTGACCATTGTTGAGGGAAAAGCTGAAAACTTGATCCATGAAAAAATGGAATTTATGATGAAAAGAAGATTTTTTTTGTATAACTTGCACTGTTAATGAAATATCATTTATCAAGAGTAAAATCCTTATTGACCAAAGTAAGGTTATTGTATTATAACAACAAGGTTGAAATAAGGTTAACTTCACCATTAACAGGATCACAATTAACCTGTCAATGTTTAACCTTTATTTTCAAGGAATGACCAACACCTGCGCTTCCGTGCTAAAAGTGAAGGGAAAAAGTGCCAAACCAACCTTTCCATGTAAATCCATCAAGAGTGCTTTTCTTGTTGCTTTTTTCCATTTTTTCTTCCATTTTTCTCATCTTTTTTTCTTCTCTTCCAAAGCAACTATTGTTGATTTATTGTAAAATTGTTTCCAATTTAACGAGAAAACGCGTGTTTCTCCTGGTTAATACTTTTGCCAAAGTCAAGTGAGATTCTTGTCGAAATATGAAAATGGTTCAATTATTTCTTACACTGAAAATATTGTAAATCTTGTTTTACCTTTTAACAAGTTAATTGTATTGAGCTGTTTCATGGTGTAAATAACAGCATTTCAAGTTTGATAATCGACTTTTTTGGTTTTTTCTTCTTCTTATTCTGTAAATTATTATTAATACGTTTCAATTGATCGAGTATGAAACTGAATTTGTTAATATTATTGTTATTTGAAACTCAAATTTGATTGTTATTGCAAATAAAATGTTGACTTATTTTCATCATTGAAGCAAATTTTTGTATAAAAAATAACGTTTCTTTGTTCAACGTAAATGAAAATGATAATTGTTTTTTTTGTAAATAAATTAATGATTTTTATTTTGAATTGCTTTTCATTTTGTCAATATTAAGGTTGACATTATTTGAAAGGGAAAAGATGAAAAAGAAAGAGAGAGAGAAAAGAATGAAATGAATCAATGAAGTTGAAGAATCAATGTCGAGTTTAGTGAAACCTCGCAAAGGTTTTACTGTATTTAGTAACCGCCGTAACCGGAGCCAGATCCTGCACCGAAACCTGATCCACCTCCATAGCCTGGTCCTCCGTATCCTGATCCAGCACCGAAGCCGCTTCCATAGCCAGCTCCATTGGGTCCATAGCCTTGGCCAGCACCGAAGCCAGCACCGTAACCAGCACCGAAACCTGGACCACCGAATCCTGGTTAGGAGAAGATAAGAAAGGTTAAGAAAATGGAAAACAAAGGAAAAAGGAAAATGGAAAGAGTTCGGAAAATTTAGATGGAAACTTACCGCTACCGAAACCAGCACCAAATCCTGAACCATAACCACCTCGTGAGTATGGGTATGGGTAGGCTGAGACGAGGGTGATGAAGGCAAAGATGAAAAGAACGATTGACTTGGCGAACATTTTGAAGGTTTTAGTGTTGACGGTGGGTTTGCAAAGGTTGAGATTTAAAGATGAGTTTCAAGGTTCAACTTTGAGTAAACTAATGATCTCTTCTGGTCTCATCTGGCCCTTTTTATATGCTTTGGTGGGGAGTTTATCATTCACAGGTTCAGGGCTGAGAGAGAGCAAAGAAGGAGATGAAGAGTGAGAAAAGGTGGAAAATAGGAAGAGGAAGAAAAGGTAGAGAAGCAGTGAGGAAAAGGGGTTAGCCCTGGATGATGAATTCCGTGAGTGAGTTTTTGGATTTTCCTGAAACTTTACTTGAAACAAGTTTTATGTAACATTGGGAAAGAAAAGATGATGATAATGAGAATGATAATGAGCATGGAGATGATGATGATAATTGGCTGGAAGAGAGAGAAAAAAGAATGAGAATTGAAATTGAGAAGCGTCAAAATGATGATGTTAATCCAATGGCTGAATAAAACTGAGTTAACGGCAAGTTTAAGGGTTGAGATAATTGCCATTTTGTAAGGGGATTAATTAATAGTGGATCAACAAGTTACCAAAACATTGACCTTTCCTTGTAACCCTTTAAACATGAGGTGAACATTGAAATTTGTAAAAAAAATTGTTTACAATTAACTTTCTCACTTTCCCATTTCTATAGATGAACTTGATAAACTTGTTATACTTCCAATGAACACAAAACTGGCTTTTCTCTCAGATTATAAGCTTTATCCGGCTTTCTGTATCAATTTACTTCTCCATTGTTCAGGTCTTTAATCAAGAACTTACCTTTACCATGGAAAATCATTTTACGTTGAAAACGCCAACGCAATGTTCATCAGATACACCAGTTAAATACAAATGTTGTTGAAGAGATTTCAATTCCAAGTGTAGAGTTTCAAGCTAGTTTCTGGTTACATTTTTACTATTCACAGTTAAAAAGACATTTACTGGTTATTTTTAGAGTAATTAGGTTAAGCAGATTCATTTAAATTTCATCCAATTTATGGGTAAATTGTTTAAGTGTAACATTGTAATTGTTTGTTTTGAAAAAATAAAGAAATTGTGCGAAATAATTTACTCTCAATGAAGGCTTGAGATGGAGCCACAATAGATTTTAATGTAAATATTATTGTTTATGTGATGTGAAATCAAAAATTGTCTGCCAATTATTTTCTAATCATTTTAATTTGTTTTACCATTTTTAATTGAAAATTTTGTAAATTGTTTAGTAGCTCAAGATCTTCCGTCCCGTCTTGCCTTTAATTCAAGTGCACTGAGTATTGAGTATTTGCTTGGGAATTGAACTGATGCAATTGAATGTTTTATGGTGAAATTTTATGCTAAATTATATAAGGATTAGTCTTTTTTATCTATTGGATTCCATTGATTAAGCTGTTTATGTCTGCTTGGTTAATTGAGGAATGGATCAACCATCAGAATTGTATATTTACAGATTTTTGGTTTAAATTGGGTTTAGCTATCTGGCTCAAACTGATAATTTAAGATGGAGCCACATAACGTAAATGTAAATACAATCTTTTTGTAATGGGAATGAAAAATTAGTTATTTTCTTAAATTAGATGCAATTTATTTTGTAACCAATTTTAATCTATTTTTATTCTTGTTTTCCAGTGATCTAAATCCTCCTCTTCTCCATATCACTTGCATTATCTTGTTGGCGTTTCTGGTTAACATCAATTGTTTTGCATGATTCACAGAATTAACTTTAAGCAAGATCGCTTCATATCATTAACGTCAGATCCAAAGTAAGTTTCAAGTCTCATTCAGTTTGTATTAGCTATTTATTTAAGGCTTATGGTGTAATCCATTTTATATTATTCAATTTAAATAGAGATCAACGGTTATTGAATAATTTTGAGGTTGAATCGAAGCGATTTGAGACAAAGACTACCATGGAAGAGATTGACGATTCAAAGTCTGTAGACGAAGGACCAACAATTGGTGTTTTGGAACCAGAAATGTTTGCTGGTGTTGAAACTATTGTTGTACCATCGGAACCTGATTTGACCAACTATAATTCAGTTGAAATGTCTTCGATTGGTGAAGAAAAGACCAAGTTTCAATTTTCGGGCAACAACAATGTTTCTTTTCACCGGAGATTCCCTCAAATTGATCCTCAAGAAAATTTGATTGATTATTATTCTTGTGCTCTTCAAGCAGACATACTTCTCCAAGGCCATCTTTATATCACCGAAAACTATTTTGCATTCTATTCAAACATCTTGGGACTCTACAAGACTAAAATTTTGATTCCAGTTTGTGAAGTTCTCGATATTACTAAGGAGAAAACAGCCATTATTATTCCAAATGCTGTTGGAATTGAGACTCACGAAGGAAAATACGTATTTGCCTCGCTTTTATCTCGAGAGACAACCTATCGATTGATGGTTGAAGTCTGGAAAAATACTATCTCGGTAATTGAAGATAACATTCGTATCCTCCATGCAAAAACCTGCTTTAAATATCCCAATTCAGAATTAGTCTCACTTCTTTATCCAGTTATAAATCTCAGGCGCTCCATTTATTTCCCCAGTTTACCAGTTTGTTGTTAGTCTAAACTTAAAAAGTCTGTAAACAATTCTTTGCAAGATTTAAAATCGATTCTAGTCAGCCTTGTAACTTTCAAGTTTCCTATCGTCTTAATTACATCTTTAGTTTCATATTTTTAAATTAATTAATTTCTCTGATTATATTTGATTCTTACATTGATAATCTTTAACACATGGACACCATTAAAATTTTGTCGATGATACTCTACCAAGCCAACAGTTGATCACATTGTTAGAAGCTGCAATAAACATTCCAGACTGCTCAAATAGGCGCAGTATAGATTTGATTATTCATCTATTCTTCTGAACAAGCAATTTTACTATTTTATCAAGCAAGTTAACAAACCTGATAAAGCTAATTACTATGGATCAAAGGGCATTGAAAATCTCGTTAAAGTACATTTTACTTTGCGATAAATGTCTTCAGAAGTGACTTGTTTACCGCATCGAAACTTGATGTTCATCTTAAATTTCCTTATTCATTAATTTCTTTCGGCATTTGATTACTGTTTTCCAACTTTCAGGGAAATATATTTTTGAAAACAAAAATAATTTAACATCTAAGAAGGCAATCTATTGTTATCCATCACAATAGTTGAATTTTCAGATTATAATTGAAAATGAATAAAGACGGTTTCTATTGGAAGCAGCTTTTGCTATGTCAGTCAATTGATAGGTTTTTTGTTTTTAATCATTTTTTCCTTCTAAATCAGCTTTAGATGATAAACATTTTCATATTACCTGCCCTACTAACCATCCACTGCTTAACCAAATTAACCAAATAACTTATTGTGAATCAAATTATTATCTTAAGCGAGATTCTTTTCAGATGGACACCTTTCCATATGACCGATTAAGAACCGTCCAAGGAGGTACAACCGACAATTCAAGTCCATCAACACCAACCACGGAAGAAGCTTTAAAATCCCTGTTACCCGAAGTTAAAAGTGATTCCGGACTATCAGTAGCAACCTTAAAACCTCTTGATTTAGAAATAGTTGCTAAATCAGCTTCAATTAAATCCAACAAGTTGGTTAGACGGTCAAAAGTGACAAGACCAGGTTTTCAAAACTGTAGTGATACAAGCACCCCGGAGACGGCCAGTGATCTAGATTATGCCCAAGATGAGGATCAAGTCAATGGCGATAGAATCAGCAGTAGAATGAGCAATTCAAAAGAAAAGGCCCAACGGAAAAGTAAATCAGCATTTAAGGTTAATAGCCATGAAAATGAGAGCAAAAAGCGTACATTGGTATTTGAAAGTTGGAAGCGATTATCTTTACTGATTAAATCTTTTCGAGATAAACTCAAAAGGTGAGCAAAGGTTTATTTTTCCTCTACCATTCGTTGCTCAACCTTACCTAACTTGCAGTTATTATTACATTGTCATCTTTAAACACTAGTTACTTCCATCACACTTGTTTTCATCCTTTCTCACATGTATCAATTGTGTCGTCTTGACTTGCATGTAATGCAATATTTTAAATTGATTGGATATTAGTTTTCAGAAACAAACAAAAAAATTATTGTCAAAACGTTAAACATTTCCTCTTCAATGTCACCAATACCTTTGAATCAGTCATTTGATTAAGGTATAGATTTGATTTGTTTGTTGGAGTCAACTTAAGTTGTCATTGAAAGGTAGACTTTAATTTGATTTGTCAATGTCTGTTCATCTTTTTGTTTAAAATTGATATTTTGAAAGCAAAAGATTGATCCATTTCCTTGCTTTCTCATTTTCATTGGACTAAATAGGACTTAATGTTTAAACTTTACATATCACATCAGATTAGCTAATCATTGATAAATTAAAACTAATGCCATTCAAGTTTAATCTTTGCTGTCATAATAATTATTCTAGATCTCATGAAATTACCATTGACTGTTAATTTAAAATAACCATTTTTTTCTCCTTTTCAGTGACTTTAAATTACCTTTTCTCCATATTGCAATAATTATCTTGCTGACATATCTATTAATATCGACTGTTTGCATGATCCATAGAATTAACTTATTACAAGAACTGTTTGATTCATTAACATCAAATCCAAAGTAAGTCCTCATTTAAATTGTAATTTTAGTTTACTAATTCTCCAATAATTTTGCTGTATTTTTTTGCATAAATTCATTCTAATTTTATTGTTTCCGTATAATTTTTTGTTGTTTTTCAGAGCTCAACGGATATTGGATAATTTACAGGTTGAACAGATACGAATTGATTTGAGTGCAAACATGGTTAAAATGGATGACCTAAAATCTAGTCTGTTACATTTATTAGATTCCGTCGAAAAAGTATTCAATTCCGATTGTGCCAATCCAAAAACTAATATGTTCATGAAACCATCTATGCTCAATACATGCCCTGTAAAAAATAGATTATAATTGTATTAAAATTTAAGCTTAAAGTGTAACTTGATAAATAATTTTGTTCAGGCAATCAGCCAAGTAAAATGCAAACACTTCAATAACTTTTATTGTAAAGTTTCGATTAAAAAATAAAGCTAACAAAAATGTATATTGGAATTTGATCCTTATTGACTATCAGTCTAGCAATCTTTTTCTTTTTCCTTTTCCTTTTCTTTCTTTTCTCCTGAATGGGGAAGATAATGTTCAAAAGTTTTATCGGCAAAATCAAATGCAGAGAGGGCCATTTTGGACAGTGCTTTAGTGGTGAAATCAGGGAGATAAGAGAGACTTGCACGAACGGTATCTTCTAAAGCTTTGGCGCATTTAACCAGGTCGAGGTGGCTTCGCACTTGTTCAAAGGTATCATAACCCCGTTTCTGTAATGATTGGAGTCTTGATGATGCCTGTCGGGTAACTCGTAATCGAACCTTATTAGACAGATTACCAGCTCTTCTTATCACATTTCGGACAGTTTCCGCATCAACAGGTTCTTGGTCTGGAATTGAGTCGTTATTTTCTTGTTCACCATTCTTCTCTATTTCTGCTAGTTCTTCATCAGATGCAGGAAGATAATATTCAACAGTTTTATCCGCTAAATCGACAGCAGCAACCGCCAATTTTGCCAATGTTTTAGTTGGATGAGTGGAGATGGTAGAGAGACTTTGACGAACGAGCTCTTCCACAACCTTAGTGTGCTTCACCAAATCAAAAGTATTTTTCACGGTATCCAGAGTTTCATGACCTTTTTGAGATAATGATTGAAGTTTGGACGAAGCTTCTCTGGTAACTCGTACTCTCATTTTGTTAGATAAAGCACCAACTTTTCTGATGACATTTCGAAGGGTTTCTGCATCATCAGCAGTTTGATCAGGATTGGAATCGTTGGCTATTGACTCCTCAATTTCTTGATCGGAAGGAGGAAGATAATAATCCACAGTTTTATTTGTCAAATCAACAGCTGAAAGGATGACCTTGGATAAAGCCTGGGTATAAGAATTAATGATAACACTCATGATGACTTAAAAAGGTAGATTTAAAACAATAAAACTTTGAAAGTTACAATTTTAAACAGAAAAGTTAGATAATGACTTGATAAAAACGATTTGATGAAAATTAATGTTACTTTACATCTTATATACAAATTGTCATTCCTATTTACAAATCACTGTCTAGAAAGTTCCTGTCATACACTACCATCTAACGGTGGAAAAAGTAAAACTCAATTTGTGCTGTCATCTACTGAGAGAGCAACGGATTCGGGAGTAACAGTTTGTTGACGGCAAAAAAGCGGTTTTCGTTGGGTTGCTGATGATGATCATCAAACTAGAACCAAGTTTGAAGTCGGCTTTAGTTGGTGTTTTAACTTGTCTCAGTTGACGGTTTGCTCCGTCAGTTCATAACTCAACATATCTCAAGTTACCTAAAGAAAACTTTTTCCCAATTTCCCGGTGTTTTGTTTTTTGCCATCACAACTCTACAACTGACTCAATTGAAATTAATTTTTGGTGATTATTTACTCTTTTCTCTATCATCTTCATTTCTTTTTAATCAATAGCAACTCTTGGTGCATTGGATTCAATTCGGATGACTTCGTTTCTGGTTAATACCCATTGTCGTTCATTGTGCTCACCCTTGGTGCAATATTTCCAGACAGTCTTCGAAATATAACAACTATCCTGTACATATTTCGGACTGTCGACACATTATATTGGATTGTAGCATCAATTTTTCTCTTCCATAACCATGACATGTAAATACAAGTTGTCAACCCAATCATCAACATCAAGTTTTCAAACAGACCGAGACTCGCCAGTTAACGGTCAACAATATGCGTTACAATTTATACCTTTCATGTCCAGTCATTGTTTTAAAAGTAAAGTAAACCTTCCAGGATTGCAGTTAATGTTGAAGTTATTTTATTCTGGACCATCTTCAAGAAAAGGGAAAAGTGTTCACAACCGAGCTCTATTTCAAGCCAATGCCAATCATGGAAACTTCAATGTGATATCCTTTTTACTGTTAACAATTGTCTACTTATGTTTAATAACCAGGCATGTGAATTGTCAACCTCGGCTGCCAACAGCAACATCCAATGCTCAACCAAATTATCATCTTCGACCATCGCCATCCTTGACATTAAATCCCAATCATAGGTATCAAAATTACAGTTTACCAGCTCAAAATCAACAGCAACCACCCAAACAACAACCACAGCCACAACAGTCGCAGCAACTGAATGCCAATTACTATCAATATCATCAATCAATACCTTGCCGGGACTTACCTGATCCATATGGTTTCCAAAGCCTCCCTTGCTATTGTACCCTAGAACCCAACAATTCAACCCACATCAATTGTGATTCAGTACCTTTTTTCGGTCCCTTCCAAGTTGCCTCTTCCTTATCCTTTCCGACTTACACTGGTCGTCGAGTGTCCAGTTACACTCAACGTCATGCAGGAATTCAAAGTCTACAATCTCAGCTATTCACTGCCAGTGGAATTAAATTACGTAAACTGGACTTTTCGCACAACCTTTTGCGTCGATTTCACGAAAGGTTTCTCGACGGAATTGAACCCTTTCTGATTGAGATTAATTTTTCTCACAATTTACTTGGTGATACTTTGAATCCAATCTTTTCAACCAATGAATTTTACCTTCTCTCCTCATTACAAGTCTTAGATTTATCTTACAACCAACTTCGAGCATTGGATTCCAACATATTTAAAGGTCTTAAAAATTTAACGGTAAGTCACTTATTTTTTGTTCTCATTATTCACCATTTTACAATCACCATCACCAATCAAATCATCCAAATCTATTGCTTTTTTGTTACCTGCCATTACCAGTCAAGTGAATCAAAATAGCGCATTTTACAGAGTAAAGAAGCTTTTTCTTTCTCTTCCTTTAACTTATTATCATTTACTTCAATCTAATAATTGATGGGAATTGTAATCATCATCGATTGTCTAAGCTTTTACCCAACTTGTATCTCATATAATAGTAATAATAATCCCAATAATCCTAATATACTTTGCTTAATCTTAAAATTGTCTTGAGAACAAATTAGAGTTAAATTGAAGCAGCCAGAGAAACAGATTGACAGACTGAAAGGAAAATGATCAAATTTCATCGTCAAAAGTACCGTCACCATTGTATCATCAGTTCAATCTTTTTCCTTTGGATTAATCTTGATCCAGATAAAATGAAAAACCCAAACCTTTTCTCATTTTGGCGCAAGTTTCATTCAACCTTCAATCATGATCCAAAATATACTCTCCGATTCCCATGGCGTAACCAAACAATCATGATCTTCCCATGAAAAGGTCACAATAAATATAATAGCAAATCTCTGATTGATAGAAGAGCCATCTTCACTTCAAACTAAACCAATCGTAAAAATAGTCTCAAGAAAGCAATAATATATTTATACAAAAATGCATCAAAAGCATGTTAATCACCATTTGATAAAACAATAACCCAAACTAAAAACCAACATTTTATCAATTTAAACATTTCGCATAGGATTAACCCTTAAACCTCTTGATTAACTGAATATCAGCCTCATCAGGCTCATCATCATCATTCATCCTCATCTTAGCCTTGTTCTGTCAGCGATTTTTTGCCCATTTTAACTCATCAATTTAAGCTCTTTGTTTGTACATGATTCGTGTTTGCTTGATAAATTAAACAAGTTCAATTCTCCCTCCATTTTTGACAACTTGTAACCATTTTGTATGATAACCTTTTTTGTTCACCAGTTTACCTTGACAAATGTTTTCTTGTTAAAGTTGATTATAATCAGCATCATCATAACCATCATTAACTGTCAATTGTCACAAAGGTTAAAATGAAAAGTGAGTCCCAAAATAAGGCTAAAGAGAGAGAAGCAAAAAAAAAGAAGAGGAACAACAATAATTACATGATTCTTCTTATTGTTATCATTATCATTATTTGATTGCTACGTCAATTATAGTTCAATTGTCCAGCCAATAAAATGGTTTAGTCTCACTGGGCTCATTTTACACACTTACCCACATCAAGTCTCACCATGATTCAGTCTTTCATTATCATCTTTACCAACCACCATCACTATTCAGGTCATTCCTATTGCTATCCATTTACTGTTACTTCTGACTTACTCAATTATAATAAGAAGAAAAAAATAAGTCGACTTCCAAGTTGATCAGAATCACATTTTCATTGTTACAATAAAAATTATCAATTGTTTGAACAAAACTCAATATGATGAAGCAAATTGCACCAAGCTTTTCACCCTTTAATTGGAGTGACAAAAGAATAGGAAATTTGTTGGACTAAAAAAAGATGTTAAAGTTCAATAAATTGTTGGATATTTTGTATGAAAAATGGTCTAAATTGCATTGTAAAAATACTTTGTATGCAACAACGAATCTGAACAATTGTCACCTTTTTAATTGCAATTAATCAAGATGAATCTCTTGATTCACTTATTAATACGCTTCTTGAGACAGTCAATGTTTTTAAAATCAAATTAGCGCAATTTACATTAACTAAAGACTCATGATTCAATTGTGAAAGTAAAGCTTCGTTTTCGTGAGACTTATTGTGTTAAATCATTGACCATGGATTAACCAGGAAAGTGTTTCTTGTAAATTGATTATACAAGTGAGGATGAGCTTAAGAATCATCTTTAGATTTAATCTCAATTTTTGTTAATCTTTACCAATGCATATCATTTCATTGAAATTTTGCACCAAAAGAGATTGAAACAAAGCGATTCAGTGAACCTTTCATTGATGTACCAAAACGGTAAACGCACTGTAACTCGATTACAGGTGAAAATGAAGATTGTATTGAAAAGCAAAATGGTTTGAAAGTTGAGATGAGTTGAAAGGAAGTGCTTAAGTTGATTTATGCATAACTCAATTGTTGAGATAATTTTGCTTTTTTCTTGAAAAAACATTTACATTAATGAATACGATGATGGATATGATGATGATTTAAAAGGAATGATCACAGCGTGATTGAGCAGAGGAAATGGCCAATGATAAGACTCAGAGTTATGATAATCATGATAATGACATTTGTTATCAGAAAATTGAAGCTTGCCATTTTGGGTTAACCTGAATCAACTGGTCAAGGTTTACTGGTCTTTCACCATCTTTGTGGGTTTCACCGGGTTCATCGTTAATTAAACTGTTTCACCATAAAATGTTCCTACTCTTTTTGACCACTTAAAGTTCACACTGAATTCAGGAGAATATCAATTTATCCAATTTTCGGTTAATGGTTAACCAAAATTCAGGCGTGATAATGTGCTTTTTGGTAATACTTTCAACTCGCATCGGTATCAATGAAATGCGCCAAAAAAATGTTTTCGTCTCTTTGACTGAAAATGTCGACTTTTTATGTAACTCTGATCCATTGTTTGGCTCAGATTGTCACTCATTTTTTTACCTTAAATTCCCACCACTGACAGCATGTCACTTTCATTTTGTTATTGCTTATTTTCATTGTAAAATTTAATGAGATTTTCCTCTTTTCCTCACCAAAAATTGTCTTCTTTTCTCTCTTTACCTTTATTTTTAACCTGTTTATCAGTTGTGCAGTTTTTTCGCCATCTCCAAACAAAAGTAACATCAACTGCTGTTGTTGCTAATTGTTGACTGATTTTTACCTTTCCAAGTATCATTGTCATGCTTTCTTAATTTTCAATGTACTTTCCATCCACATCATTCACACCTTCAATTCTTGAACCGTTTTCCTCTCAACTTTTTCTTCTCCTTTTTTTCAACAAAAAAACCAATTCCTAGTTCAATGATAGCAGTATTGATCTTTACAGACAAAAGACCCAAATCATTGAGAATAACTTTCGTTTCATTTTTACTTTAAATTAATCAAATTTGCTCATCAATAGTTAATTTCCTTTATTCATTGTCCAATTTCATCTCAACACTTGCAACTGTTTAACCGTTGAATTTAAATTTTCAGCCCACAATTTCCGTTGAAAGTTTCATGCAAACCCATCGATTTAGGAAATGAAATGAACATTTTTTCAACTTGAATGAAATAATTAAGTTGAATCAAAAGGTTTCATCAATTCATTTCTGGTTCACTCTTTTATCTGGTTTTACAGTTTTTTCACAGAATCAGAAACACTTAAGATACTTAAATTGAATAATGTGATTCACAAGATTTGAAGAAAGGATAAAACTTAATCACAAGTTTCAACAAAATTTCAATATCATGACAATGTAACAACAGATTAATCTGAATAAACATTGAGAGCTTAAATGGGCGAATTTAAATCTTTAAAAATTACCAAATTAACTCGATAGAATTACTTTTAAACCTTGAATCTTGAATTGAATATTGAATCTCATTGTTTCAGAATTTGAATGAAACATTTTCAGATTATCGGCTTCATTATCATGAGTCAAAATTGATTCAAAGGTTTGATGAAGCTTGATTATGAAGGTTAATCCAATAAGAAAATGTTTCATTGCAAATTCATTATAAAAATAATTTGCTCAAAACTCATAAACTTAACCAATCACGCACAGGTTATACCATTTGATTATGTATATCAATGGACCTTTATGGCCTTTTAAATTGGTGTTAATTGAAGTTATACCTAAAGAGGTGGATTTACATTGAGCTAAATTGTTACCTTGAAATCACGAATCTCAATTATAAAAATGTTATTCTAATGATTAACTTTTTTCCTTTCCTTGTGATTTCAATTAATATCAACCGGGCACCCTTATGATAATGATCATGGTAATGCAAACCTTTTCTTTCCCTTTCTTTACTGTTACTCTGTCTGTGTTTCATGATAATTCATGATAATGGGGTTTGTTGCCCTTAATAATAATAATAAAAAACTACTTCAATTGTAAAAGACAGATTTAATCATAATCAGTTAGGAGTGTAAAATCATTTCTTGCATTCTTTGGTAATAAATCATTGTAATCCGTTTCTCTTTTTTTCAATCATTTACAAAATCAATTTAGTGCTAATTTAATTTGATATCCATCCTTGAAGTTCAACCAAATTACCTTTAAGTTAATCACTTAATTCTCATCAATTAATTGTTGAGCTAACTTTATAGCCAATTGATCGCTTTAACAACATAATTGCAAGTGAATATTTGATTTATCAATTACAAAAATTGGATCAAAATGAAACAATCAAGAAGTGTTGATAAATCTGTTGATTTTACTCGAGTTAAATCAGCTTTAATCAACAAATTCAAGTTTTTGTCAATTTCTTGTTACAATAAAGACTTTCGATCGATATTTTTGATGATTTGTTACCAGGTTAGCATGAGCTCTGGTTCAAGAATTAGAAATGAGAAAGGTCATCAAATAGTGACTTTAAGGAAAGGCCGAAATACCCGATGATCTTTACTCTTGTCTCGTCCAAGGAAACTTGCAATCTTTTGATGAAACTTTGTCACTTTCTTGGTCGTTGCTGTGAAGCTCATTTGTCTGGACAAATCACAATTAATGAACCAATAAGTTAGATGATCCTTTTACTTTTGTAAGATCTGTAAACCCGAGAATTTCATTGAAAATTCTGTAATTTCTGTCTGATTTTTTACTCTTTCTGTCTACAGTTTGTTTCAAAAGTTTCATTGTTCCATCTGCCAACTTCCTATTTGGCTTCTGTTTAGGGAAGTATTGAATCACTTTGAATTGAACTTGGTATCAAAAGTTAATTTAACCTTTCAATCACCGTTACTTTCATCGGTAATCTATTCAAT